GAGCGCACGCCCACAGGCAGAACAAACGGGACAGGCTGCTCCTCCGAAGCTGCAGCCCCAGACTCCCCAACGCTGGGCTGGGCAGGGCTCTGCCAGGCATGGCCCTCGCTTTCCTCAGTCCCGTCTTCTTGCTGCTGCTGCTGCTGCTCCTGGATCACCTGCTCGTCAATCTCCTGGACCACGCGGGAGAGCTCGTTGAAGTTGCGGAGGATCTCGCCATCTGGCGGCTGGATGCGGCGCATGAGGTGGATCTCTGACTTCCAGATTAAGTTTCCCGTGACCCTCGTGACCCTGGCATACTTCCCATGGAAGCTGAGCATGGCAATCGTTACGCGGAAGTCAAATATGTGCCTTGGAAGAGGCCTGGCCTGATGAGGTCGTCCGGGTGGCTCGGCGGGAGGTAGACGCGGCGGTAGGTCACGCAGTAATCGGGCAGGCTGTCCTCTTCCAACAGCACCCGCCCCCGTTCTCCCCTAAGCCGCGTTGGTGAGTCCTTTCGGTGGTCTCTCTTGATCCACTGGATGCGGAACCTGTCCTTCTGAATCTGCATGTGGCGGCTGTGGGACAGGCTGTACAAGTTGTCCATGTACTCCACCGTGGCTGATTTCCTCTCCGTCAGGCGAATTCTAAACGAGGGCGCGAATTGCATTGGGCCAGCCACAGCGGTGTTAAGGTGAGGCCAGCACGTCGAACCAGTAATGCATAAGCCATCCACCACTACATTCAGCAGTCTTCTATAGCTATGATCTAGAAGCCACAATCCCAAAATGTGTTTGTATGGGAACATCTTCGCATAGACTTCTCGATAAGACATACCCCTCCTCTCCTGGTTCGGCAAGTTTTCAGGAACGCCATACTCCTCCCGGCAGCGCCGTCTCCAGATGCTGTCGTCGTCGTGCAGGATGCGGTGGAATTTGGTGCAGGCCTGGTCCAGGCTGGGCAGGTCGGTGCCGGGGAGCGAGGCGAAGATCTCCACCAGCATCTCCACCGGCAGGTCCTGCAGCGAGCAGTGCGGGGGGCGGCATGGGGCTCGCGATTCCTTCACTCCCCGCACAGCACCGCGCTGCTGCGTCTGCCTCCACGTGCTTTTCTGCCAGGGCCGGCTTGCCCTCAGCCGCTGCCGTCTCAGCTGGGCGCTGGCGCTCCTGAAGACACCGACATCCCCGCGAAGAGCCCACGCGGCAGAGGCAAGCGCACTCCTCCATGCCTCCACGCTTAACAGCCACTACAGAGTGGGCCGCCACCCCTCCGCAGGGTTTTAAGCTGGCTGGGTCCGCCCTAAAGTCCAGCCACGCCCCCTCAGAGAGGAGACCATTGTAGGACTTTAAACCCATACCATTAACAGTTGCCTCCCTTTCCCAGTGCCCCCTCCCTGTCCTCCTGCCCTAGCCCCAGGCAGTCACTAATCTGCTTTCTGTGGGGAGATGCCTCCAGGGATATGCCTATGGGGGAGTGGG